GGGCATGTGCAAGCACCGCTCTGTTACCCTTCTTTTTGTTTGAGGCCTTGGAATAGTGAGAAGGGTCTGAGGCCAACATATGTGCTGTGTGTAGCACTAAATATATAGCCGCATTTTCCTCAACGCCCTGCTCAGAATTCCAAACGCAAGTTGGAACAAAGGCAAACGTGTCTGAGTGTAAAGGGTGAGCTTGTGCCAAGAACTACAGTCACAGGGGTAAATAACCTTGTTTTCTCCTTCAGCAGTGGCTACCAAACCCCCACTCTTGGAAGGTGGCCAACTGTCTGTCGGGTGGAGGGTGCAGCTAATTAGAGAGTCCATAAACCTCTCTGTCAAAGAGGGCATGTGACCTAACCCCCCCCCCCCCAAAGTCTAAACAATAAAGGCAGCGAGCCGCAGGCACTCGGCACCGCTGCTCTGCGGGTTCCCTAAATAGGAACAGGATGAAGGCCGGACTGAAGGGGTTACCGAGGCTCTCCACACTCACACCGGGAGGAATCGGCCACTCCGCTTCCCAGCATAACCCGCTTCAATGACTCTCTCCAATCTATTTAGAGGAGTGCGGCTTGCAGAGAGCACATTGTCCAATCTAAATGAGGAAGCAATTATTCCTCGCTGCTGTCAGACGTGCTTGGAGACCGTTGGGTCAAAGGTCAGCCTGCTGTCATGTGACCTTACTCTGCACTTGAGGAAGATCAACTCTTACCCACAATTCAGCTTTGCTTTTCTGAAGCACTTTTTTTTTTCCTTTCCCCTGTTACATTCCCTCCTTCTCACTCTTTAGGATCTTTCTTAACTCTTAAGTTATTCTAAAGTAAACACAAGACCTCTCTGCACATTGCTTAATGGTAAATATGAAACTTGTGTGTGGGTTTACAGGCGTCTTCTCAGAATATTGCAAAACGGGGTTCTTTGTCTGCTTGTCTTTGTCTAACTTCCTTCCCTGGGAGCCTCCTTGCTAGCTTTAATTTTATACAGCATGCTGTAAACTATAAATAACACAGCTCTACTTTCCTAGAACATAGCATATGGAAACTGTCGCCTGCTGTATGTCCCAACTGTAGTTTCAATTTAAAGACGGAATAAAGTTAATCCCCTGTGTGAAACGGCGTTGGACCGTTTGTGTGTGTGTGTGTGTTTTATTAGTTGAAACCGGGGATGGAGGAACACCAGGAATTCTTGGTGTTGGGAACGGAGCCCATAAAAGCGTTTACAAGGTGTGGTTTGAAGGGAGGGAGGCCAGGGACAAATGCTGGTGGGAGGGCCCGCAGGAAGGAAAGTACTTCCTGAGAGGACGCTCCTCTCAGGAGCCACATCCTCTCTTCAAACGCTTCCTGTTTGGTCTTAGCCAATAATTGATGGTGAATTGTTTTTCCCATTCGGTCTGAAAGCATCTTCTCTCTCCTCACGGAAGCTAAGAGCCGGATCAATGATTTGAACGTGATGGCTGACTCCACTTAATCTTCCGATAAACATCGGAAAACTTCTGTAATATTTATAAAAATCACGTCTAGGTTAACTTTTTTAGGTATTGTGTGATTCCCCAAAGCAAGGATAATGAAATGAACCAAAGACCAAAGTCCCCAACCATAGGGCCTGGAGCTTATTCACTGGATTGGTTGATTGGTTTGCGAAGCAGGGGTGGTACGCTGACTGACAGCAAGAAATGAAGGGCATCAGAAGCTGGGGTGTAGCTGTTCTTTTTCCACGGCATCCCCTTCTTTGTGAGATAACAAGAGCTAAGACTGCTAGTTTCTATGCACAGAAACAGTGAAACAGCTTTCTTTTGAGGTGGAGTTCCTTTTAAGGATATTGTGATGGCTACTTATGTATGTCAACTTGGCTAGGCCATTATACCCATTTAATTAACAGTAATAGAGTGTCTTTTCTTTCTGTCCATCCCTCCCTATTGCTTCCATTCTTTATCTATCTATCTATCTATCTATCTATCTATCTATCTATCTATCTATCTATCTATCTATCTATCTATTTTGAGGCAGAGTCTCACTATGTATCCCTAGCTGGCCTTGAACTTACTATGTAGACCAGACTGGCCTAGAGCTCATAGAGATTCACCTATTTGTACACCTTGGGTGCTGGGATTAAAGTCGTGTACTGCTACTCCTGGCTTCCATCCTTATTTTTAAGATGATATTATGAATTGGTAGACTTTCAGATTATACTCCATAATGTGAGTGGGCCTAATCCAAATCAGATGAAAAGGGAATGTGATCAGCATCATGTACCTGCACTCCAAAAATTAACTCTTCGGCTGCCCTCCCGCTACTGGGCAGCCTTCAGAATCGTGTGAGCCAATTATTTAAAATCAATCCATCAACCAACCAATCAATGGATTGATCGATCAATCACTTTCTTTTTCTAATGGTAGTGTTTTTCTGGTGAACTCTTGACTCATCCACGTTATCTACCTTGATTCCTGGTGGAACCATGACCTTTTGTATCTCTCAGATTCTGAGTAAATCAGGTGTAGCACTGATGATTAACCCAACCTCTCTCAAGTACTTTGAGATGGTGCATCACAGTAGAAAATAATCCAGTCATATTCTCTAATGCCTCATTCGTTTTCTCTAAACCTTGGCAATTGGGGGGAAAAAAAGAACCCTTTTCCCCACCTGGTGCCCGGGATCTATCTCTGATCTGCACCCCCTCTTCCCACAGGCTTCTCTGTTAGAATTCCCCAAAGGAACCAGTTGGACACATATGAAACTCACAGAACTAGAGGACCGACCATGGACTGTCACGGTGAAAACCTCCACAGTTACTGAAAACAGTGATGGTTCTTCTCTCTTGGGCCAGAGAAGGCTCAGTGAGTAAAGGCGGTTGTCCCTGAGCCTAAGGACCCGGGTTCTACTCCCAGAACCCACACGGTAGAGAGGACAGACTCTCACTAGCTGTCTTCACACACACACACACACACACACACACACACACACACACACACACACACACACTCCCAGAACCCACATGGTAGAGAGGACAGACTCTCACTAGCTGTCTACACACACACACACACACACACACACACACACACACACACACACACACACACGAGAAATGAGTGAGACGGCCAGATTCAGAACATGTTTCGGAAAGCCAAAAGAATCACCGCTGTGTTGGATATTAAAAGATAAAGGCAGGAAAGGAATGAAATATTTCTTTAAAAAATTTTGTTCCACGCCAGACATGGTGGCAGATGCCTTTAATCCCGGACTCGGGAGGCAGAGGCAGGCAGATCTCTGCGAGTTCAAGGCCAGCCTGGTCTACAAAGCGAGTTCTAGGACAGCCAGGGCTATTATACAGACAAACCCTATCATGGAAAAAAAAAAAAAAAAAAAAACAGAAAAAAAAAATCAGTTCCAAGAGGATCAAATGAATTATTCAAGGACCTACAAGAAACCCTAGAATAATGCAGACATTGACTTGATAACAGTGAATTCATTCTTTCGAGACAAAATTCCCTTAAATTGTTATTCTGTCTTCTTAGATAGGCTGTGTTGAAACATAACCACACTCTGGTACACATTGGGCAATTGATGCATGTTCCTGGATATATAAAAAAGCGATGGTAACTGGATTAGCATATAATAACAAGGTACCATACTTGGAGGGTCTCACTATGCGGTCCTGGCTGGCCTCCAATGCAGAGATGGGCCTGCTTCTGCTTCCCCAGTGCTGCGATCGAGGGTGTGCGCTGCCACCACTGCCCAGTCCTATTTTTTTTTTTTTTAATTTACTTTATGTTATGAGTGTTTTGCTTGCATGTACAGATGCACACCACATTGTTCACCTGGTGCCTACGGTTCCTGTTGTTGGGCACAGTTCTTTACTAACTTACTGAACAGGTAAAATTATCAATCACATGCTTTAAAATTCCAACTTGAAGAATTGTCTTTTAAAAAGCAATTTATTTATTTAGACAGGGTTTCTCTATGGAGCCCTGGCTGGCCTACAACTTATTAGGTAAACCAGGCCGGTCTTGAACTTGGGAGATTGCCCTGCCTCTGCCTCCAGTGATGAGACGAAAAGCCTGTTCCACTTTAAAACGGAATTTAAGCCGGGCGGTGGTGGCGCACGCCTTTAATCCCAGCACTCGGGAGGCAGAGCCAGAAGGATCTCTGTGAGTTCCAGGCCAGCCTGGGCTACCAAGTGAATTCCAGGAAAAGGCGCAAAGCTACACAGAGAAACCCTGTCTCGAAAAAAAACCAAAAAAAGAAAAAAAAAAAAAATGGAATTTAAAAACACGGCCTGCTCTAGGACACTCAGAGGAGGCTTCAAGCCTAGCATATATTGATGAGCAGGTAGAAGAGCAGACTATTTTACAGGAATAACACATCTCTGACGTGGGTTTTTGTTCCACACAGCTCTGTAAGAACAGTGAACTACTTAAAGAGAAAAATAAAACCCCAAGGAAAAAACAAACACCATTAAAGTCCTTCACAAGCTCACTGTGTTCTTCTGAATTTCTATTTAAATTTATAGCCCTCCTTGGTCATGGCAAGCATATGTCTCATGCCAAGGCTGAAAACTGTAAGTCCATTTTCAATGCTATCTGAAAACACCGTAACATACATTGCATATCATAATGAAGCAATGCAAGGGAGCTTTTAAGACAGGATTTATCTTTAAATGTGAAGCAGACACAGACTCTCACACAGACGGAACTCCAGAACACTTCCAGGATACAGAAATCCGAATGTTCGGTTAGACTATGCTGCCGACTGCCAGCCGATGCGGTGTGACAGAGTTCCTGTGCTGTTTTCCCTGCTTCTGTCTAGCATCCAGACTCCACCATCCAGGATGCGTTCCTCAGCCTATGACAAGCTTTCCAGAAAGTGACCATCATCATGATTTGTTCTGCCAACGCAATCTGAAGGACACAGATGTCGTCTGTTACTAAATCAGGACATGCTGAATCATAAAGAACATTCATAGAGTTCAACACACGTACGCCGACACATAAAGAAATACCCAACTGCCACTAATGTAATGAGTTTACTTTATTGTAAAAATTCGCAAAATACACTTGCAGAGTCACCCACGTACGGGGGCTTAAGGATAGCTTTTAACAAAGAGATCTTATAAAGTTATTCTTGCTTAAAGTATTAAAGTACACAGAGATAAAAAAATATTAGAAGAAAAAAATGTTAAGTCAGGGTCAACACTCAAAAAGGGCTGATATACAATATTCAAAAAGGGTCAATCTGCAGAGCACCCCTAAAAGACTACGTCTTAAAAGTTCTTAGGGAAAAAAGGTATTTTCTTTTCCAAGAACTTTAACCTTAGGGTATATTTCTTAAGAAATACTACAAACCATAAAGCCACAATCTTCTCAAAATTTGCCTATTTCACAAATAAGTCAACCTAAAAAGGAGAGGACAGAGGAAACAGCTTTGGAATCTGTATTTAGATTTCTATATTTAGATCTACTGAGATCTTAGTTTCCCCAATGAAAGATATTCAATGAAAAATTAGCCCATTACAATGAAAAAAAAAAACACTTACAGTTAATATAAGACATTATAGTAATACCATAAAGGTTCAGGCGTCTCCCCAAAAGTACAGAAAAGAAAGAGGATGCATTTAGCCAATGTTTGACAGAATTTTAGAGTATTTACATGCTTCATAACACTGTGGAAGTCTTTGGTGGTGACACACGGAATGAGATCCCTGAAAACCCGTGAGTAGATAGCTCTGCTCCATCCATGTAGTGAAGTGTTTCTTACCAGCAGTGGCGGTAGGATCTCGTTGTTTTAGCCATCTAAAACACACAGTGATATGTGTGGACGGGGTCTGGTTGGGGAGTGAGGTGGGTTTATATAATTGCTCATTTAGCAATGAGCTTATTGTTGGTTCCTTTTTGTTTTTCACAGATTTTTTTTTATTTTAAATTATGCGTACGTCTGTATATCTGTGTATCAGTATGTTCACACGCATGCAGATGTGCCTGGAAGTCAGAAGAGTATCGTTTTCCCTGGAGCTACAGTTGCAGGCAGTTGTGAACTACCTACCAGGTAGAGGTGCTAATGACTGAACCTGGGTCCTTTGTAAGAGCAGTATGCATTCTTAAAACACTGAGCTATCTCTCCGGCTGTACTTGTGGCTCCTTTCAATACCAGAAAGGAAAAAAGAAAAGAGAGAGACACATAGACTATATCAATTCTTATGCCTAAACAATAGTTAAATATGGGGAATAGTTAAGTATTAGTGATCCCACAGAATGACTGGCTAGTCAGATAAAATACTAGTAGGCTATAATTTTTGGATAAACGCCAAAAGGCAGACAAACAGTGCCCTAAACAGGTTTGTGCATTGCATGCTGGTGCCCCAATCGGCAGTGGGGTAAGTCAAGGCACTGTGGTCTATGAATAAATTTACAACTCTTAAAAAAATCAGCAGCCTCAAAAGCAGAGAAACTAACGACATGACCTGCTCCACCTTAAAAGAAACAAAACAAAACAAAAAAGCCCTTTATTTCTCCGTATATAAAGTTAAAAGAAAAGGACCCTGCTATGACATACGATTGTGGGGACAGATGACATCAAGTTTATTAAGTATGTCACCATCAGGGATATGCCGAAGCATGGGCCGGGGATGAGAACAGAACAGGACAGCAAGCGTTAGTTCTGAGTCAGGTGGTATCTTTGTTTGGGCATTTTGATTCTCCCAATTAATAATTCTCCCAATGTAAAAAGTCCATGAAACAGGGCATGGTGGTACACACCTGAAATCCCAGCACTTAGAAGGCTGAAGCATGATGAGTGTCCACAAATTTGAGGCTAGCCTGGGCTACCTAGTGAGTTTCAGGCCGGCTAGAGTGAGACCTTGTCTCAAAACAAAACAAGCTGGGCATGGTGGCACACACCTTTAATGTCAGCACCTGGGAGGCAGCGGCAGGTGGATCTTTGTGAGCCTGAGGCCAGCCTGGTCTACAGAGTGAGTTCCAGGACAGCCAGGGCTCCACACAAAACAACTTAAAACAAAACAAAAAACCAAATAGTATATGAATTCCTTAAAAGATGGGTAAGTTTGTTTTAACCAATTTTCTTTTTTGATTCAGGGATTGAACTCAGGGTCTTGCCTATGTCAAGCATGGCACCTATCAGTAGCTCCAAAGGGCAGGTGTAATACAGAAACTGGATTTCTAGAAGATAATATGGTGTCAATCAGTCCCCATGGAGACAGAGTAACTTACTTATCCAGTTGTCTTATCAGGTAACACTGCCTCTGTCCGGGAAACCAAGCACGCAGCATGGCCTTTGTACAGAGCAGGACAGGGCCAGGCAAAATAAATAACACTCTTTCCAATAATTTATGATAGATGTCTGAACAGAAGTTGAAGAATTCTTCTAGAAACAAAGAGGGTATGAGTCAAAGCAAAGCAGATGGAGATACAAGATTAAATTTGGGGAAAATAATTGAATTTTTATTTGGTGCTCAATATTAAGAATGTGAGACAGTTTGGAGATATTCAGAGTAGCATCTAGAGGTCATGTATGAATGACACTCAGACACTCCCAGGTAAATTTTGTTTGATTATTGAAGTTTTGGTTATCCATCACCCCAGACACACTGATTTAGGGTTCACAATGCAGTTAGTAGGGCAAATCCAAAGAGCCTCCGAGTTCAATCCCTCTAAATCTCTTACACTAAAAGGCGGTCTTTGTCTGGGAGCCTGTGCTACGTAGCATCAACTATCCTTGTGCTTTATCCTGACACTCATCTTTAGGGAATAAACTCAGTCAGAAAAAGATTCAGATGACTTCAGTCACCGCCAGGTCTGTAAGGCAGCATCTGCCTCTGCCAAGCTTGAGAATGAGGTGTGGTCACTGGGCAGTTCATGAGTCAGAAAACACTGAGTGTAGTCGTGCACACACCTTTAATCCCAGCACTCGGGAGGCAGAGGCAGGTGGATCTCTGTGAGTTCGAAGCATCCTGGTCTACAGAGCTAGTAGTTCCAAGATAACCAAGACTACACAAAGAAACCCTGTCTCTAACCCTGCCCCCAAAACAAAACAAAAAAAACAAAACAAAAAAACCCTAAAAAAGAAAACACTAAGTGCTACACTGGTCTTGACTCTCTTCTGCAAAAGCTATTTTTTAAAACCTAAAATAACGTAATTGTTGTTGATAAAAACACATCACATTCAACTATGGAAACTGATTAGTGTTAATCACTTCTTAGATGTTAAGAATATAATTAAAAAACAGTTAAAATTAGTCAGGTGTGATAATATACACCTGTCATCCCAGCAACTGTGAGGTGGAAGCAGGAAGAGAATCAGGAGTTCAAGGCCACCCTTGGGCCACAAGAGACCTTATCTCAAAAAGCAAAACAAAAAGTAAAAATTTAATAAGAGTTAGCTATGTGTCCCTACTATAAATCAAATGAATTTAACAAATGAAACAAATGAGTAGGAAAAGGAGATGATGCATTTCAAGGCGTAATTTTGACATGTCAGAATATCACAGACAACAAAAAAGACAGCATCGATAAAATTTAAAGTAAATGTACAGTCGTAAAATAAGTAAACAATTTTCAAGTGTGCAAAACCAGTCAGGAAAGTGCTATGTGGACACCTGGTTTTCAAATATCTGTTTCAAAACCTTTCAGCTCATGGTGGAAAGCTTCCAAGGCTTATGTAAGGGACATGTCACCACCTTACAGTATGTCTTTGTCACAACACTGGCTGCTCAGTGGCTGTCACCACTCTCCTGTGACAGATGTGGGTGGCACGGATGGGCGTAAACACAATGCGACACCAGAAGGGCAAGGTGTATCCTGAAGCAGAGACTTTTCAAGTATACCCTGGGTCTATGTTTTACCCTTAGATCCCAGACACTCAATGTTGCTGATGGAATCAGATAACATGATTCTCTGTAACTGTTGTTATATACATGCACATTAATAAACTTTACACAACTACATTTAGCAGTTGATATCTAAAAGTAATTGTTAAAGAAACAAACTATTTAATGTTATTAAAGTAAATCCCATCATCGCCACAATCGGAAGATTTAAAGTGTAAGTCCTGAATACATTTGAGTTAGAAAATGAAGTTGGTTTGTTAGCATTATTTGTCTTGAGATAAGTGAGGTGTAGATGCTAAAAATACACCTGTGGTCTCTTCTTCACTTTATATTTTAGCGAACCATACCGCACCTAAAGAAAGAAAAGTATTAGTATTAATAAGAGGAAACCCAGCTGGGTAGTGGTTACACACATCTTTAATCCCAGCATTCAGGAGACAGAGCCAGGTGGATCTCTATGAGTTCAAGGCCAGCCTGGTCTACCAAGCGAGATTCAGGACAGGCACCAAAACTACACAGAGAAACCCTGTCTGGAAAAAACAAACAAAACCAACAAAACAAAAAACTAAGCTAAACTAAAACAAACAAAACCAAACAGACTGATTAAGTTTTTAAACTAGGTAGGTTTTAATAGTTCATCGTCATAGTAATGGTTCCACTCTTCCAACATAAAACATCAACTTTCTTGGGAGACCAGGCAGAAGGACTGTAATTCAAGATCTACCTGGGCCACACAGGAGCTCTGGGCCAGTCTGGGCAACTTATTGAGACCTTGTCTCAAAATAAAAGGTGCTGGGAACGTGGCTCAGAAGTATGTTTGCATAGCCTTCATGGGGCCCTTGGTTCAAATGCCCATACAGCACCCACATCAATCAATCATCCAAGCAATGCCCTTGCAAGTTACAACTTTACTAAGAACACCCACAGAAACATAGCTGGCGATGTGGTGGGCGTAGGCAGTACACAGGACATTCCCAATCACGGATGAAAACACTGACTTATTATTTACATTTTACTGCGTACAATGTCAGTAAATGAGCCTTAGCGCACTGACACCGTGTGACTGCGGGTATATATCTACTATTTAATTATCATGTATGAGTTGTTGAAAGCAACACTATGTAGTTAATTCTGTTAGCAGCTTTCCTTGTTTATGTAGAGGGAAGCAACGGACAGTCACAGTAACTGTGGGGTTTGCTAGGTAGAAATGCCACTTTCTACATAGAGCACAAAATAAGGACTTTACTATTTCAAAATTTTCAGGGGGAGGAAATGTCCTGAGAGATCCCTAACACACCTGCTTTTAATAAAGAATTCCAAGTACAATGCTGCCCTCTGATTGGAATCCTTCATTCACTGGCCATTTAATATCAGTAATGGCAAAGTAGAAGGAAATCCCTCCCACAGATCGTCAGGAAGATAATTACCGGCTGCACACTGACCTCTTTGCGGCCTTTGATGGTCTTGACAGACTTCATGCTCTGGGATCGCCGCAGCCCCTTGTGAGTCACCATCTCGTCGTCCGAGAATGGCCCCTCCGCTTCTTCATCGGTTTGCTCACCTCCGTCTTTCAGTGGAATTCCATAGGCTAAACAAATGGTCAAGGGCAGCATGTTTTAGACACAGGACACCAGGCAGCCTGCCTCTTCATCTGCCTGGCATAAGGGTCTAGCCGGGGCCTCTCTTCCCACTCATCTGGAAAGTGCTCCTGGCCCTTCCCCACGAACTTTTGCTTTGTGCACTACTTCAGATAAAGATCAGAAGACTCATTTCCTCCACGAACTTCTCCATGATCCGTTTTACTCATTTGCCTAATTCTTTTTTTTTTTTTTTGAGATGAGTCTTCTGTAGCCCAGACTGGGCTGGAATTCACGGTGATGGCACCATGGCCAGCAGCCCAATCTTATTATGAATATTTTTATTTAAAAAAATAAGCCAGCTGAGCACGCCTTTAATCCCAGCATTTGGGAGGCAGAGGCAGGCTGATATCTGTGAGTTCGAGTCCAGCCTGGTCTAGAGTAAGATCCAGGACAGGCACCAAAACTACACAGAGAAACCCTGTCTCGACAAAACCAAAGAAATGAATGAATGAATGAATGAATAAATAAATAAATAAAATCAGCCAGAGCGCTGAGGAGCCAGCTCAGTGGGTAGGAGCACTTGTACAAGCATAAGGAGCTGAGTTCGGGTCCTAGAATTCAAGTAAAATGTGGGCATGGTGCTCTGGACTCTCCAGGGCTGTGTGTGTACATTTGTGTGTGTTGTGCACAGAGAGACAAGAGGATCTCTGGGGTTTCCAGATTGTTGGCGTAGCAAAAATACACGTGCCCCAGGTTGAGGGAGAGACCCTGCCTCACAGGAATACATGAGAGTGATAGAGGAGCATACACCACACAGTCAGGCATGACACACACCAGGAGCATTAAAAACCCAGGAAGTAGAGAAGAAGGACTGATGTGTGTTTAAGGTCTGCCTGAGTTAAAGGTAAGAAGACCCCAAGTCAAAACAGGACTGGGAAGGTGACTCAGCCTGAGTTCGAGAAGGCATGTAAAAAGGTAGAAGGAGGGAAGGACTCCAAAATTGCCCTGTGATCCCTAAGGGCACAATAATAATATTTAAAATTAAAAAAGCCCAACACAGCCAGGTGGTGGAGGCACACACCACACACCTTTAATCCCAGCACTTGGAAGGCAGAGGCAGGTGGATCTCTGAGTTTGAAGCTAGCCTGGTCTACAGAGTGAGTTCCAGGACAGCCAGGGCTACACAGAGAAACCTTGTCTCTGAAAAACAAAACAACACAAACAGACAAGCCAAACCCAAACAACAACAACAACAAAACAATAACAAAGCCAAACAACACACACACAAAAACCCACCCCAGAATCTCTTCAAAATTTCCAAACAATGAGGTTAATACCCACACCCTGTTTGTTTTCAACAAAAAACCAAGAAAAAAAAAACTTAGAGAAAAATAATCAGAAATGTTGTAAAGTTTCTTTTCACCCTCACATGAGTTGTACAAAACCCAAATGTATCTTAGGCTGTCATTTGTGCCTCTGACTTTAATTAAGACCCAAGTCCCTCTCCCACCTGTCACACGGTAGGTCAACACTGGGAATGACAGGGGATGCCAAGAGAGACTCGAAGGGGCTACAATCGGAGAGGTGAGTTCACTGGAGCACGGTTACAGTGCTGATCAAGAGCAGGAAGTTTCAGTTGAGAGAAACCACAGGCCATAACACAGACGTTAGAGGAAATGTTCAGCACCAAGATCAGCCAGGGCCCACAGGGCCAGCTGTTTCGTGGACCTATAAATACTCATTTCTGTCTGCTATGCAAGCATCCAGGAGGGACGGTTACTCTAAGAATTCTAGGGAGTATTCCAGGCTGGGAGTCAGAAGAGCACCCCATCTCGAAGAGAAGGTCCTCAGACATTGGCTTGTCTTATTGGGGTGACTTGTCTGGACATAATGCTGGGCTCCACCCCTGGAAGATTGTGATTCAGCAGGCCTGGGGTGGGGCAGAGATGAGCATCTCTAATGAGCCCTGGGGGATGATGACATAGCTCTGAGAAGCAAAACCTGAGGCTCCTGGTGAAAGGCAGACAAGGGCCAGTCCAAGGCAGTGAAGGGTCGGGGTGTGTATACAGTTACATGGCCCTAAGAAGCTTTAAATCCTTCTCTAATAAAGATAAGAAGCACAGGATAAGGGCCCAGGAGGAAGCAGGGATGAGTTTTTCTGTCAGGAAAATGACGTGGAACAAATGTCTATTAGTCAGCTCGCCCAGGACACAAATAATTTGAGATTTACAATGCAAACTGTGAGCAGTTGCTAATATGCTTTTTACTCTCATAATAACATAAACGACTTTAATTATATATTAGGACAGAACAATTTTAGGCTGCCAAACATCTAGGCTCGAAATCAGGAAGGATTTGGAAGCAGAATCAGGCATTATTTTGGCCAGAATCCTTTGTTTTTCTGTAGTAGTCCAAAGAAGAATATCCCAGGCAGAAGTGAGTGTGAATGTAGAGAGCTGGAGCAGCAGAGGCTGTTGGGAGGAAATTCAAGCATGCCAGGGAAATGTTCCTCATTTAGGGTAAAATGAAGCCATATTTTCTCTCTCTTTAAAGAGATTTATGTTATTTTTTTAAAGATTATTTTAATTTTCATTATGTGTATGTGTGTCTCTGTGTGGGTATGTGCATGTTAGTACAGGTGTCCACAGAGGCCAGAGGAGGTTACCTGATCCTCTGGAGCCGGACTTACAGGAGGCTATGAACTGACCAACATGAGTGCTGGGAACTAAACTCGGGTTATCGGAAAGAGCAGTATTTGTTCTTAACCATGAAATCATCTCTCTAGTCCTCTGCCTCCTCTTAAAAAAAAAAACCAAACTACATTTATTTATTAAGTGTGTATGGTCATGCATGGGCACGTGTGCTGTTCAAGGTCAGTCTGCAGGAGGTGGTTCTTGCCTTCCAACACTTGGGTCCTGGAAACGTAACTAAGTAAATGTAACTAAGACATCATGCTTGGTGGCAAGCTCCTCTACTCACCCAGCTGAGCCTTACTGATAGCCCCCAGACCATTATATGTCTCGGGAAGCAGGCTTTTATGTATTTGAATTTTTCCTTTTGTAAACTGCCAAGCATTGTTTAAAAATAACTATTGTATAATGAAGAAAGTAAATCAGAAAAAATCTAGAGGTTGTCATTTATAGAGAGAGTTTTCCATTGTATTATTTATTTTTATTTTTTCAAAATAAGAGTATTAAGCCAGGTGGTGGTACAGCATGCCTTTAATCCTAGCATTTGGGAAGCAGAGGCAGGTGGATCTCTGTGAGTTCGAGGCCAGTCTGGTCTACAGAACTAGTTTCAGGACAGTCAGAGCTACAGAGAGAAACCCTTAAAAAAAAAAAAATCAAAATAAGAGTATTGTGCTATTTCTGATTTTGAGTAATGGATTAAAACTAAATAAACCATACCCCCTAACTGAACAACAACACACACACACACACACACACACACACACACACACACACACACACCCACCCCACACCATACAGAACTAGACAGTGTTAACCTTTCAGAACACCCTCTGGATTTTCCAGTATGTACAGACACTTAACAGGTTCACCTCTCTTAATCCTTACTCCTGTGCCTCTACAACACGGGATCAAAGCAGACGCTGTCTAACTGTCTGATTTCTCCTCCTCAGAATGTTTCAGTTAGTTTTCAGGGCTAATAAACTGCCACTGTAGGCACTTGGCTTTTGTTATTACCAATGAGAGGAGCAGTCTGGCACATATAGCTCCCAACGCTTATCTGGAAGCTTGTCATCCAAAATGATCAGTTCATTTTAAACTCACAGAAAGTCCAAGAGGCTGGTCCATGACTCCCGGACTCTCCTTCAACCTTCCAGGCTTTTGTAGCTGCCTCAACAAATCACCACTAATAATGCAGTGAAGGCACCGAGTGGGATTTCTGCCAGTGTCTTGTGGGATACTGGCTGTGGGAACTGCAGCTGCCAGGTGACTCCAGCTCCCTCAGAGACTGGGAGTCCACACAGAGAGGACACAGATTAGCACCTGCTGCTTGGCTTTTCCAGGCTCTGACAGGGACACGTGCGTGTGAGCTCCTCTCTGGGTGTGCGGCTCCGGCCCCAGCAGCTGTTTGAGCACAGCTGCATGAGACCCTGAACAGAACTACTTTGCTGAGCCTGGCTAGCCCACACTCTGAGCAAACGAAGAAACTGTGATTGTTTTAGGAAACTGTTTGGGGTTTTTACAATTGACAAGGGGGGCTTTCTTGTTTGTTTGTCCCCCCCTCCCCCAATCCTCTGTCTTCTTCTGACGGGGTTTCTGTATGCAGCTCTGGCTATTCTACTCACTCTACAGAGTGAGACCAGGCTGGCCTTGAACTCAGAGATCCGTCTGCCTCTGCCTCCGCAGTGCTGGGATTACAGTTGTGCACCACTTGCCCAGATAATGAGAACATTTCTGATGGCTTCTTTTTTGTCTTCTTCAGGATGTGGGATGTGTTTTTCCTTCCTGTATGGTAACTTTCTTTCTCTCTCTCTCTGTTTTGACACAGAGTCACATGTAGCCCAGGCTGGCCAAACACTGCTAGGTAGTTGAGGTTGGCCTTGAATTTCTGATCCTTCCTGTTCCCACCTCTTTCCAAATCTGAGTGCTTGGATTACAGGTGTGCACCACCAAGCCCTGTTTATGAACTGCTGGGGATGGAACCCAGGGCTTTCTGCATGTTAGTCAAGTCCTCTACTAACTGAGCCACAGCCCAGCCTCGGGTCTTCATTCTTAAAAGCACTACTTTAACCCATGTTAGCTTGAGTATAACCCCTCAGACACTGGCCACCATTTTAAGTATATTCATTTTTGGGAGAAAGTGCAAGTTTTACTTTTATTATTTTAAATTACATGTACATATATACATACATATCTGTGTATGGGTATATACAGATATGTGCATGTAGTTCAGGTACCCATGGAGTTCAGGCAGCTGTGAAGAAATGCTGGGAACTGAACTCGGGTTCTTCTCAAGAGCAGTGTGCCCTTCAATCAGTGAGTCATCTCTCCTGCCCCAGCCTTTACTTTTTGAAGAGGAGCTATAGCTAAGGTGTGGAAGCTAACATTTGGGAAGCTGAGGCAGGAGAATTGCCAAGGGTTCAAGGCCAGCCTGGGCTACACTACAAAACTCGGTCTTTCAAAAAGAAAGAAAGGAAAAAAGAAGAGGCTGTCATTTTATTTTAAAAATGATGTTGAGCTATTATAACGTGATGAATTTCAGCCTCCCTCTCAAGAGAATGTAGTTTTTGAAAGAACGATTAATGCTTTATAATGAGGAATGTCCTCCAGAGGACCCGAGATCAATTCCCAGCACCCACATGGCAGCTCACAACTGTCTGGATCTCCAGTTCCAGGGGATCCGACACCCTCACACAGACATGCATACGGGCCAATCAGCAATGCACATAAAAATACTAAAATAAAAAAAATTAAAGAGAGAGAATGTCCTCAGCATCTTAGTTTTCAGCCTGGACATGAATGAAGATTGCTGCAGATGTGACACAGGATGAAGACCCTCTGCTTGTTTATGTGCTGGCTTCCAAGACCACACCAGTTCAATCAAGCAAGGCACAAGACACAGCCACCGTGACAGGCTCATCGTTTCTGCAGAAGATGCCTACAAGCTAGCTCTTGAATTAGAGTGTGCAATCTCAACACATTTTCCCGCTGGACTGATCTCATTTTGGTTTTGAGTCAGCGGTTGTCATGTGCTTCAGACTTCTCACCTGTGAGTCAATGTCCTTACTTGCTCACAGAACTTACAGAGTGCTTACCCATGAGACTTCGCAGATGTCAACTGACAGTTCGAACAGAGAGTGCCAGTGATCAGTCAGAACCAAAGCAGGGGTGAGCTCTGAACCATGTCCACAGCTCCTAAAAACTCCCAGACGCCCGAGAGGCCACAGCTCTGCTTTTAGCTGCATGACCTATCTATCTATCTTCCTTCCTTCCTTTTTTTTTTCTCAGGGTTTCTCTGTGTACCCTTGGCTGTCCCGGAACTTGCTCTGTGGACCAGGCTGGACTCAAGCTCACAGAGATTCAACTGCTTCTGTCTCTGCAGTGCTGGGATTAAAAGTGTGCACCACCATGCCCGGCTAGCTTCATGATTTCTGTGAGCAGCAAAAGGCAAGTAGCCGTCTGACTTAGAGAAAATTTGGAAAGGAGGCGCAACAGCTTGGGGATGTAGTTCAGTTGGGAGAGTGTTTGTGCAAATCCCTGGAGCTTATCCCCAGGCCTGCTTGATACCAGGTGTGGTGCCCCCCCCCCCCCCCCCCCCCCCCCCCCCCCCCGGCACAATACTTGGGAGGTTAGATGCAAGAGGACCAGCACGTTCATGGTCATCCTTAGCAAGCCTGGGCTATGACACCCTGTATGGAAAACGGAAAGACAACACACCAAATAGGAAGCTCCAAAATATATGCTTAAAATAAGTAAATTTTACTGGGTGTGGTCACTTACACCTGTAGTCCTAGCACTGGGAAGGCAGAGGCAGGAGAATCAAGAGGTTGAAGACAGCCCCACCTATATAGCAAGTCTGAGGCCAGCATAGGCTACATGAGACTCTGTCTCGACAGTAACGCTATCAATAACCAAGTGAGTTCTGTGTCCAGTACCATGTATTATGTAGTCCCCACCCCGACCTGCAGCCCATTTATGAAAGGCCCCCTGTATAGTACAACAAATGAGCATACCCATTGGCTCAGTGGCTTGTTTGCTCTTCCTCTTTGCTTCTGGCAAAGTCTGGTAGGGTCTCTGTCCCACAGGCTCATCCCCTTGGATAGCTGTCAAATCATGCATGCTGAAACTCCGCAAACGCTCCGTTATGGCTCCTTGGCTCTGTTTAACAGAGACGTGGTAAGACCCGAGGAAAAAAAGATACTTTCAAATATTTAATATTCTTATATTTGTCACGTAACATGTTAGAGCATTTTATTATGAAACAATTTGTCATATAAATAACATCCCTGCACATCTTATGATAAAAAGGCGTTTAGAGAGGCTGATGTCTACCACAAATACCATACACTGTTTATAGCTGCTTTATGACATCTGTATCAACATTAATCCATTTTCCTTTTTTATGCATTTCAAAGTATGTCATTACATCAACACATTTTATTCCAAGCATTTCAGCATTATACTAAACTTTAAGACGTGTTTTTATTTTTTTAGTATAATGAGATTAACTTCAGAGAAAACAGCACCCATAATTCTGAGCTGTGGTTCAGTATTCTGGGTTAGTAATAGTAAAACTAGCTTGTTGGGGCTTAACATTTATGACGCAGAGAAGCTCTTCAAGGAAAGACAGTGTTTTAAAACAAGCCTAAGTCAGGAATGGTTAATAGCTCTAACTAGAACTAGGTAGGAAAGTTAGGAGCCAAAGAATTTTGGATCCGAAACGATCCGGCAAGACATGTTCACCACAGTATTATTTCATTTTGTCTTTATAAAAGGTTGATTCATTTTTATTTTATGTGTATGAGCAGGTGCCCGCACACATGTATGTGTACTACAGGGGTGCAGTGCCCTTGGAGGCCAGAAGAGGCTGTCTGATCCCCTGGGACTGGAGGTAGAGGCAATGAGGCACCCTGTGGGAGGCAGAAGTCAACCAGGTCCTTTGCAAGAGCAATAAACACCCTAACCACTGAGCTGGCTCTCCAGCTCCTATTGTCTTAACAACATGACAGACACAAAGCAAATATTTAAACGCAAATCAATGAAAAGGAAAACACAGCTTTGTTTGTTTGTTTGTTTTTTGAGACAGGGTTTCTCTGGGTAGCCCTGGCTGTCCTTGAACTCACAGAGATCTGCCTGCCTCTGCTTCCCGAGGGATTAAAGCTGTGCGCCATCACCACAGGGCTGAAAATGAAGCTCCTTACTTTCACTAGCCACATCTAAGATGTCCATGGCTGCCCATGTCCGCAGTGGAAACAGTTCGACCAGTGCAGACAGCATTCCCACAACGCACAGCATTCAACAGTTTCCAGCACCACACAGCTTTCACGGGGACATTTATCTGAACTTTAAAGATATACTTCCCTAAACGATGAAGCTTTGTAAAGAGAGAAAAAAAAAATTCTAAATTTACCCACTTTAAATCTGCATAGCATACGGATGATTCATTGTTTTATTTATAGCTAGACTAAAAATACTTGTCTCAAGGCGTTTACACTGATTATTTCTTCTCACACATGTGAATTTATGATTGCCTCTACTTATTACCATGGAAACTCATCCATCACGGTTCATCTCTAAACTTCAAAGTTAAAGGTGTTACAAACATTGGGTCGTTTCTTTTCACTTGTATTTTACCCTGAAGAAACAGCTCTTCAATTCACAAGTCGAGACTCAGTACTCTCGGGTACTGATGTCATACTATGTCAAATCACACGCTGTTTCCACTCCCTAGGTAAGTTTTGTATCTCTATGATATGTTTTGAATTGTGTAAGAACATTTAAAGTTGGGGCTGGAGAGAAAGCCCAGTGGCTATGGGTACTCAGTGCTCTTGTAGAGGACCCAGGTTCAATTCCCAGCACCCACACAGTAGATCCTCCGTAATTCCAATTGCAGGGGAATCTGATACCCTCTCCTGACCTCCTTGGGTACCAAGCGTGCACATGGTATGGGAGAGTAGCACTCTCCCATAAAAGAAGAAATATATCTAAAAAAAAAAAAAAGTTTCAAGTCCATTTCCCTATTAAAATAAGTAGACTTCACACATTTAAAAATTAAGTTTTGAGCTGGTATGGTAGATCTCTGTGAGTTTGAAACCAGCCTGGTTGATAGAGCAAGTTCCAGAGCAGTCAGGGCTATACAGAGAAACCCTGTCTTGAAAAAAATGAAACCAACCAACCAAACAAACAAATAATTATTTTTGGAGCAGGGTATGATGGCACACATCTTTAATCTCAGCACTTGAGAGGCCAGCCTGGTCTATAAAGTGAGTTCCAGGTCTGCCAGGGCTACATAATGAGACTCTCTCTCAAGTAAATAAATACACAAAAATTATTTTGTGGCTGACGAAGTTGCTCAGTAGTCCTCTCCAAGTAAGTCTGGCAACTTGAGTCTGATCCCCACTACCCCTGTAAGAGTGGACGGAGGGAATCCACTCCCCCAAAGTTGTCCTTCACACACACACACACACACACACACACACACACACACACACATACACACACACACGTCTCTCCTCTATCATGCACAACACAATGACAAATTTTAAAAGAATCTTGACAAACTTAGCTCATTGTATTTATTTTCTGTTGACCAGATAGCATTTACTGATAACAGAGAAGGGGACAAGACACTTCAGACTCAAAGGTCAAGGAAGTGCCGTGCTCCTCTCTTGGAAGGAAACCTTGTTTCCTCAGAACTGTAATTTTCTTTACTGTGCCCTTCTCTTTCCGTGAATCCTCTCAATACTCCTGGACTGTTTTACCCATCCCAGACCCAAACACAAACGGCATGTAAGTCCACATATTATGACTCGGGTCTTAAATGTTCCTTCAAAGGCGTATGTCCCCAGCCTGTAGAGCTACTTACTGGCAGGCCTACAAGAGATGGTGTCTAACGAAAGGAGGTCATTTGATGAGCCCTTGAAGGCGATCTTGGGGACCCACCCTTTCTGGTGTCACGAGATGAGTGGAGCACTCTATTACCTGATTTGCCACAGGTCCAAGTGACAGCATCCACCAGTGATGGACTAAAACCTCTGTTAGTCAAAATAAACATTCTGAGTCGAAATAAACATTTCCCGGGGAAGCTGATTAACATACTACACTACCCTCCCTGTGACTGGAGTACATACAATCTCTACCATCTATTTGTTTATTTAACATAACTGGGTGTTTTATCTGAATGTATGTCTGTGCATTGTATCCATGCAATGCCAGTGGAGGTCATAAGAGGGTGTGTTGGATCACCTGGAACTGGAGTTATAAACGGTTGCAAGCACCACGTGGGTGCTGGGAACCAACCTGGGGTCCTCTGAAACAGATCAGCCAGTACTCATAATGGATGAGCCACCTCTCAAGCCCCTTAAATATAGTTTCTAGGGCTGGTTTTAATGAGCTAAACTGCCACTGAGTATTGACTAGCTTAGTAATTGTACCATTGCAAGTGGTTTTTTTTACCCCTGGAGCTGAGGACCGAACTCAAGGCCTTGCACTTGCTAGGCAAGCGCTGTACCACTGAGCTAAATCCCCAACCCCGAAAGTGGTTTTAATTGGTGCAATCAGTGGATAAGACTTAGCTCACAGATGAACTAGAGTGCTATTGTTACTTTTACTGCTGTGTGATGTATGTTTGCTATAGGAGCAAGATTTTAAGAAACCCGAAGACAGGGTGAGACTTGGGCTTCTGTCCTAGCAGACCATCTAGAACAGTTTTATATTGAGCAGGTCTATTGAGCAAACCAAGTATTCTTTTTATGACCATTTCCCCCAACCTGACACAAGTCAGAGTTATCTGAGAGGAGAAACCTCAATTGAGAAAATGCCTTCATCATTTTGCTTGTCTGCAGGTCTGTAGAGTGTTTTCTTGATTAAAGACTGATGTGGGAAGGACTAGCCCGCTGTGGGTGGTGCCACCCCTGGGCAAGTGGTCCTGAGTTGTCTAAGAAGGCAGGCTCAGTAAACCATGGTGAGCAAGCCATAAGCAGCACTCCTCTATGGACTCTGCTTCAGCTCCTGCCTTCAGTTCCTGCCCTGACTTTCCCCAGTGATGGACTGTGAAAAAGCAGAAAATGGGGCTCAGGGGGGAGCTCAGTTGGTAGAGTATTTGCTTAGCACCAGCACGCAGGAAGTTCTGGGCTCCGTTCACAACATGGAATAAACAGGGCCTGGTGGTGCATGCCCATCATCCCAGCAATCAGGATATGGGGGCAGGAGGATGAGAGGTTTAAAGCTGTCCTCGGCTACAGAGTGATGCTGAGGCCAGCTGGTGATACTTGGGACTAGCCTTGGGGGAGAAAGGAGGCATGGGGGGGCGGGGGGGGGGGGGGAGCGAGGAAAAGAAAAAGGAGGTATAAGCTGCTTTTTTTTTGAGGCCTGTTAACACATCAATAGTTCTGACTACCTTGGGAAACTGGATTTCCTACTACATAGTTTTTTTTTTATAGACTAAAACACATCTCAAATGAGAACAGAGAGGTAAGTGTAGCATGGTGAAGTTGAAAAACATTCAGTAAGTTGTAATTATCCAATGTAACTACTTCAAAGGAGAGGTGTAATTACAAAATAATCATATCCAAAGGGCAACCTGTTCACTCTAGTCTCATACCTTCAGCACAAACGCCCATTAGTACAAGATTTACGTTTGCCATGCAATGTGAAGTGGAAATACCTCCCCTGCCCCAGAGTCCTAATCACACCCAGGGAAGGATCGCAAGCCTGTAGTACATGGGAAAATATGCAAAAATGAACAGTATGTTTAGACAGATGAGATGGGTGATTGATTGTCTTTCCTATCAAATGCTTCTTTAATATTATGAATTAGTAAGTTTATTTAATAAAGTTTAAAAAATCTTCTTAAAAATTAGTTTTAAAATTGAACATACCAAGCGATGGGTTTTGCTATGGCATTTTTTTCATACACCTTTGTCCTTATCTGTCCTCCTCACGCTGGTTTAATGAAGACTTGATTATAATAACATGCTGCACGATAACAGTTTCTGCTCCATTTGACACTGTGGTTTTTGTATCTAATGCTTCACTCCCATCATCAAAAGAAAAACAGTCGCTGTGTGTGGTGTGGCCCTTAATCCCAGCACTGTGGAGACAGAGGTAAGCCAGCCAGGGTCACACAGTGTGACCTTGCCTCAAACATGGAATAAAGA